CCATGAGGTGCCATGTTGAACATCCAGTGGTCAGTACGAGAAAATTGTACTCAAAGCACCAAATTTTAACTGCTCTAATACAAGATACACAAATTTGTATGGTCCTGTCAAGCAGACAAAAACATGAACATGATGAATAGGACATGTGGCTTATTCATGACACAGCTGTTATCACTTAGGGCAGGGTTCCTCAAATCTTGCCCTGGAGGGCCAATGCGCTGCAGAGTTTAGCTCCAACCCTGATCAAACTCAGCTACCTGTGATTTTCTAATGATCCTGAAGACATTGATTAGCATGCTCAGGTGTGTTTGATTAGGGTTAGAGCTAAACTCTGCAGGTAAGTGGATCTCGTGGATCATATTTGAGGATCCCTGACTTAGGGTGTACTCACTTTTGTTGCCAGCTATTTTGACAATAATGGCTGTATGTTGAGTCATTTTCAGAGGACAGTAAATGTGTACTGCTATACACCACATTGACTACTCTAAAATATATCCAAGTTTCATTTCTATAGTATTGTCCCTTGAGAAGATATACTAAAATGGTTGCTGAAAAGTGAGGGGGTTTACTCACTTTTGTGAGATACTATACGTAACCAGGGCAGGAATAGCCCAATATTTAATTCCCCTGGTGATTTTCCCCCTTTAAGCGTTTGCTATGATGCAGTTATGCGCGCTGAGTTTGAGTATGTGCACAAGAGAATGTGCGTCAGAGGGGAACTGAGAGCGCGCCGATAGAAGCAGCAGTTACAAGTGAGGAGAAAACAGTTGTTAAAAAATTGTTAAACGGATATAATCCAGGCTGGTTATCAACTTGTGGACCTGTGGTGGTTTCAGTTGTGTGACTGCACAGAGTGGATGACTTAATTTAGTGTTTATATTAGTGTTTTGTTGCTGCACATGAGAGATCTCCGGTGGGGGAGGGGATTCAGGCCTACTTCAACGGAGATTGAGCGTAAGTTAATTTAAAATATGTTTTGAAGACTGTTATAATGTAAAATAATACAGTGTAACACATGTATGGAAGGAACATGCAGTAATTGTTGTGTATTATACTGTTAAGAGGGGAGAACAAGGATGTGAGATTGCACATGTGATAATTATCATAAGTTTTCAATTATAATCTACTGGCCTAGCAGCAATTAGCAGCAACTTCATTAGGATGTAATTTATACCTTATGGAAACAGTAACATTTCAGTTTTGAAATAAAATGTATTAATTCAACAGAAACAATGCAATGTGATCCACACAGGCGCAAAACTTTAGGCACCCCAATAAAATAATCACATCAATATTTAGTAGAGCCACCTTTTGCTGAAATAACAGCCTGTAAATGCTTCTTATAGCCACTGATAAGTCCCTGAATTCTGACTGCAGGTATTTTGAACCATTCTTCCTTTCAAATGTCTCTAGTTCAGTAAGGTTTGATGGCTGCTGAGCATGAACAGCCCTCTTCAAATCAATCCATAGATTTTCTATGATGTTCAAGTCTGGGGGCTGGGATGGCCATTCTAGAACACTGTATCTGGTTCTGTGCATGAATTCTTTGGTAGATTTGGAACAATGCTTTGGGTCATTATCCTGCTGAAACAACCAACCCCGGCGTAACTTAACAACCTCTTGACTGATTCTTAAACATTGCTCTTAAGAATCTGCTGATACTGGGGTGGAATCCATGTGACCCTCAACTCTAGCAAGGTTTCCAGTACCTGTGCTTGCCACACAGCGCCACAGCATAATCAACCCTTCATCAAATTTTACAGTAGGGAGGAGGTTCTTCTCATGGAACACTGTGTTATTTTTCCACCATGCAAAGCGCCTCTGGTTGTGACCAAATAAATCTATCTTAGTTTAATCTCTCCACAACACATTATTCCAAAATAATTTTGGCTTGTCCAGATAAGCCTTTGCATACCTCAAACAACTCTGCTTGTTGGCAGTACAGAGAACATAGAAACTTTTTAGAGAACTTTTTCTGCATCACCCTTCCAGTGAGCTGTTCCTAGTGCACAGTGCGATGGATTGTGGAATGGTGTACAATGACACTACCAGCAGTAAGATGTTCTTGGAGCTCTTTGGAGGTGGTCTGTGGTTTGTCTGTGACCATTCTAACTAGGGCTGGGTGGTATGACGGTATATATCGTTACCGCGGAATAAAGTGTCTATCGATAGACATTTTGCTATAACGTGTGTTCCGTGGTATGCAAATATATCTTTGTAACATAGTACTACTTAAAAGTTATATACACCTTCGAGTAATATGGAAACATGCATGAATGAGAAAAGAAAGAGTGGGAGGCACTTGATAGAATTAATAAGTGCAATAAGCAGTGAAAAAGAACTCAATGCGGTGCTCGCGCTGACTGACACACGCACTCAGAAAGCACCTCAGACAGCATGCGATCACGTATTTGTGACGTGCATGATGTTTAATAAAGCTATTAACTGCAATAAGCAGTGAAAAATAACTTAATCCGCTGCTCGCGCTGACTGACTCACAGCCAAAGTGTGTGCACTGAAACCCTCTCTCTCAGACAGCATGCGATTGCGAAAACAGATCTCTTTCGTGCTTGAATGGTCAAATACACACACAATTTTGTAAAATTACCCACCGTGTGGAGCATTCACGTAAACACAGTAGGCTATGTGTTAAATAAACGAAACATTGGGTGAAAAACGGATGTGTATCAGTATTTTGGATCCGTGCAGTTGGTCTCAAAGGGACAGCAGTCAAATTTACCTGCTGATGTCTGTCATTACTAATGTTAATCACTCACTGCACTTGACTGAATCACTTTTGGATCAGTTCATGTTTGATTGATACAGTGAAGACTATGCAGTGTTTTATTTATACACTTTATTAAATTTCATATTTATTTGTTCTATTGTGTTTGTAATTTGCTTCTTTTTCTTATTTTATAACAAAAATAAAATAAAACACTGTATATCGAGATATATATATAGTTATCATGAAATAAAATTTCTAATACCGTGAAATAAGATTTTAGTCATATCGCCCACCCCTAATTCCAACCATTCTTCATGTTTTCCTTTCAGATATTTTTCTCTGCCTACCACATCTTTCCTTCACTGGGACTGTTCCTGTCACCTTCCATTTTCTAACTATATTTCTGACTGTGGAGACAGAGACCTTAATACTTATTTTTTATTTTAAATTATTCCATGGTCTGTTTGAATACTCGATTCTGATTGGCTGGCAGGTATGCATTAAAACCGTTTAATGCACAGGTAGTTCCAAGTCAGTTTAATCACCGTTCTATATTAATACGCTGCTTTAATTGATGCACACACACATCACTCGCACATAAACACAGTGAGAGGGAGAGAGGTCGGAGATTGCAGATTGCACTGTGCACACACAGAAACTTATTGTCGGTGCTGTCCCACGACTTTAATTAATAAAATAGTATAGATACTAGATCGCTACATTATATTCCTCAGCAACAAGGTAAAATCGAAGTAACTAAACAGCTTCCTTGTTTGTAGAGTGAGACGAGCTGACACAGGTAACTCACACAACTGTCATCTCTCTCTCTCTCTCATAGATCGATCAATATTTAATTCAAATAAATGCTATAATAACCGCCATTTTTACCCTTCCAGTTAAATATTGCGCTGTTAACATCATAAACAGCTTTAAGCTGTAAATGTTGGCAAATGACAATGGAATGAGCGGGATAATCAATGGCTTGCCGTGCATTAAACGATTTTAAATGCAGTGGACGTGGAGGCCAAGAACCTTGTTGCCTTGGGAAGTTGATTATCCTTTACATATAATAGTACAACAGCTCTTTCTGGTTCTCGAATCTGATTGGCTGAGAGCCTTTTCCAGGAGTGCAATATTCAAGTGATATCGGAACTCCAACCGTTTTACCATTTGTGTATAACTCCGCTTGCTGTATTTCTCACAGCGAGTGTCACAGCGGACATCCGTATCCACTATAATTGTATAAATAATACTGTTTTTGTGTCACGGAATTTAGTTTTAAGAATTTTTTTTTAGGTGAGAATGTACTTGTTTAGACTTCAAATATGCTTTGTTAATAAAGAAAACGTCTATTTGAAAATTTGCTTCAACGTTTTCGGAGATGTGAGTTCCAGGATGTCAGCAGCTGTTCAGCGCCAATGAAACCGCCAAGAGCAGCCTTACCTCGGCCAGCTCTTTTCAAGTTTGCCGCTAGCTCTGATGTCTCTATAGTGGTTAAACATGAGATATAATTTATTTTGGGTAAAGCTAACAGGCAGTCTTTGGTCTCATTAATCTATTATTTGTTCCATAGCAAATAGTTTTGGATGAGGGCAAAATCTTATCACGTTATATTTTATGTAACTTCAATGCTGTTTATCAGAGCCCTGCCTTTGTACTTTTGTCTGAATTGTCTAGCAACTTTTATGATGGCTGTTGTTGTTGTTTATTAAATATCATTATTCAGTAAATAATATTTTATATAAGTAATAGTAGTATTTAATTAGAATATTTAGTATTGGGTAGGGGTGTCCCCGACTAAGGATTTTCATAGTCGAATCGGAATTTTCGATTCTTGCCGATATTCGACTGATAGTCTAATCATATGTGTTGGGGGCGGGGCAAAATACATTACCAAGAGTCGAGTCAGACATTCGACAGTCATAATTATGTTAACATACAGGGAAAATGTGTAACGGACACCTCGCAGATACAAACGGGGTAAATAATGTTTTATGTTTTGACTAAAAGATAGTTAACATTAAGCGTCAGTGAAACCCTAAGAATTCACAATATTTTTTTACAATAGTGCTCTCATTATAACATTATGTATATGACAGTAGTTATTAATGTTCTGCATTTCTGTTTTGAGCTTGCGCGCGCTGAAGATGACCAGTAGCATGAAGCAGCAGGTTTTTAATCAATGGGATTTAACTCATCATTTATCTCATATAGAATACGCTTAGTTATTTATACAACATAATATATATTACGACTTATAGGCTATCTGCACAAAATGCCTGAATGCACGAACGTGTCTGTGCGGCTCTGAATGAACACCTTTTGTGGGCGCTTTCTTCACGCAACAATGTGAAGAAACACAGCAACTAAACGTAAAAAATTCACAGCGTTTTATTATAATAGTGTTCTCATTATAATGTTATGTATATGACATTCCCAGTCACAGTTATTCATATTCTGCATTGTGGTTTGTCCATGCTCGCGCTGCGCGCTGAAGAGATAATCACCATAGTACTACAATGAAGCACTTTACTGCAGCGCAACTAACCTAAATGCATCTTATACGAGATAAATTATATATACACGATATATATAAACCGGCTGAAATGTTTTGAAATCACTTGTACCGCACCTGATCGAAAAAAATCCAGTCTTTAACTCTGCCTGTGTCAATTTGAGTCTTGTTAAAGTTTTAAATCCCTGCCGCCAAGATGCTCCTCTGTCAGTCACGGATTATGGAAAGTGAAACTGAAATCTATAGGGTTGTTGGATTTATTCACGCACGTTAAAATATTTTTTTTGAAGCTTCTTTCTTTTCAGATTCTTATTTACAGCATTATTTTAATAGCCTGTATATTAACTTATTAGGATAAAATCAGTAGTTCTATGTGAACTCATTTGAGCACCCCCATATAGCCAAAATGGCATGATCATAACACCCCGCGAATAATAGACTGTGAGATTGGTAGTCGAATCAGGCTCCTCCTATCGAAGCATCGAATCTTCGACTATGCAGGGTCACCCCTAGTATTGGGAAATGGTGCATGTGGTCGTGATGGTGATTAATTACATTGTTCCGCCATTAGATGGCGACAAGAGACTGTTTTTATGAGTGAGTCAGCAGTAAAGACTTTTATAATGAAAGAGACTGAAACAGGGTTGTAAACAAGCAAGTTATTTTTACTTTCAACAACAGCTTGTTTTTTTTTTCAACACCTTGTAAGACGTAACCACCAAATGCACTGAGCAGAGCTGTCATCGGAAATCACCCTTAACAGATGGAAGGATAGTACGACAAAGATATTGCTTTCCTCAGCAGACATTCAAACTAATGTTTTATGCTGATTATTAAATTTAGCTGAAGAATCAATGCTGTATCAGACGCAGGTAATAACTTGCTCAGTCCATCTCTCTCTCATAATACTCTACATAATACAGTGAGCTTTTAATACAGAAATACAAGAAGTTTTCAATGAAGCAACTTAACGTTCCTTCATTACTAGTTCTAAAGTAACATTTTCGAATTAGTAACGGAGGCTCAGCTGTTAAACTGTAAACTTGAGATCTGAATCCGTGGTGGAAGAAAGAGAGCACAAAAGAGGGGTTTTAAAGACACTCAGTTCTTGTTTCTTTTGTATTTACACACTCGTGCCGTTGAACTGTTGTATAAACACAATTTCACACTCATAGCCAAGCAATATGGCTGTATATCAGCACGCTGTGTTTACCTATGACCGAATCACAGCTGTGCCGATGTACAGCCATATCGCTCGTCTACATGTGATATTGCTTATTTACTTATTCTTTTGTTTATTATCTTATTTTAAAAATAAACTAACTAATTAGAGTGCAATAATACTATATTAATGATTTTATTTTTATAGTTACAGGTCTCTCAAGTTACAGTGGTTCCCATACATTGATTTATTTGTGGCGGCCCTCCACAATATCAAAACTGACCACCACAAATAGATTTTCCAAAAGGCTTTGACTTCGTTGAATAAACATGAGCATTGCAGGCGCGGGGTTTTTTATATGAATGTATCTTTGAAAGGAACTGATGTAGAAGATTTTTATTGGTCAAAATATGAACTACTCAAGTATAATCAATGTGAATCTAGCCATTTATGTATCAAGTTATTCCACTGTTATAATCATGTATCTGCCTGTGTGTGAGGCCTGCATGAGAATGGAATGTGCAGACAGTGCAGGGGTACAGTATATGGTGGAGCTGCACACTCTATTTGGACATTAGACAAAATATATGATGAGACCTCCTTGGTGCAGACATTACAAAAATACAGTATATGGTAAAGTTGCATGTCCTATTTTGACATTAGACAAAATATATGATTAGGCCTCCTCATTTCACTTAAAATAAATTCTACATCCTAAAAGCAGGCTGGAGACATAGCCATATGAGGTAAAATAGTTAATAAACAATAACCATATGTATGAAATGTATCTGAACATGGGCACGCCACTGTATAAAAGAGAGAACAGACACAGACTAGATAGATTTTCTGCAGATAATCTCTAGACTGCATTATCTCTCTGATAATAAAAGTCTATTCTTCTGGCATCAAAACCCAAAGACTCTGAGAATGATTCCTCACAGCACCGGCAGAAGCCACCACTCTGACTGTCTGTAGAAATGTTTCGATGTCATGTTCATTTAATCTTTCCTATAATGCCCGATAAAATCGTGTTTATGAGCGGAGTGCTGCTTTGATTACAGCCATTACTGGGGAAACCAACATTTCTGCCTCTCCAAAAGCGCCGCCTGCTGGCAGAGAATTAAATTGCATTTTCAATTAATCAGCCCATCTGCTGTTTTATATATAGCCTATATTTCTCCCAGGGGAAGTGCCGCCACACATAATGTAAGTCTGTGAGAGAAACAGAGTTATATCAAAAGTGTGGAGTAAGATTTAATCTGTAAGGGGAGGAGCCACTCATTTTTGCAGCAGCACCCCCTCGGCGCCGCCCAATTCTGCTAGCAGTTAAATTTTATATATTGTTCATAAATGACCAGCACAAATAGAAATTAAAACAATGGGTAAATATGATAAATATAACAAAAGACAGACAATTTCATCCACATAAAGTAAATTGTTTTATATATTACAAAAATACAAATGTAAAAAAAAATTAAAATAAATTTGGCCCCAAACAATCCAACTGCACAGCAGTGCTCAATGTACATACTGTACACATACAGTAGGTTTGCAGGACTAAACCTGAGCATGTATGTCAAGCTGTCTCTCTCTCTCTGTGTGTGTGTGTGTGTGTGTGAGTGAGTGAGTGAGTGAGTGAGAGAGAGAGAGAGAGAGAGAGTATACATTTCAACTTGTGAATGGTGTTTTGTGTTGTAAGTGTTTGTTTCACATTTTGGTGCCTGGATGACAGGGGTAGGGGGCTCCCACTTAAAGCATTGTGGCTCAAGGCCAGCCATTTTCGCCATCATGATTGATAATAGCATTCCATCCAGAGCCAAACTGTTCCTAGTTTTGGTTTTGTTCAAACCCACCATGAAGAACACTCTCTCTGCATCTGCATTTGAGTGAGGAAGCCACAGTGCTTTAAGTGGGAGCCCCCACCCTTGCCATCAAGGCATCAAAATGTGCAACAAAAACTTACAACAGAAAAAAAGCATTCATAAGCTGAAATGTGTAATTGTTAGGGGCCAAATTTCTTTTTTATTATTTTTGATACATTTGTATTTTTGAAATATATAAAAATTTATTTTATTTGGAAAAATTTGTCTTTTATCAGATTTACCAAATGTTATAACATCTCTAGTCCTTTCCTTAGTTTCAGGAAGCCAAAGCTAAGTTAAAGCTTCTGGTTGCAAAGCAGTTGGAGAGTTTCTGACTCTATCAATAATAATTTAGAAGGAATGTGGCTATATTCCCCAACATCAGCTCTCACTATCTTTGATCACAGGCAAGTGATTTTGTCCAGGAATCGTAAAATCTTAATCTCAGGAATCAAAATGTTTTAAAAAAATAAACAAAAAAATTAAGGGTTACAGCATTCATTGGATCTTGCTCTTCCAACTTACACTCTACGTGTGTGGGCATCCATGTTGCCTAGTAACGAACGAACATGCTTGCAGTGCAGCTGGATCACGTAATTTACACTGAAACAATAACATTCCAAAGGTGCATTCAAGCCATATCGTAATTACTGTGATTACGAGATACCAACTTGTAAAAAGCGTTCACGTTTTTGTAGAACTCATAATTACAACTTGGGAACTGGGAGTTTTCTGAGAGCTACAATTTGTACCACCTGACCACCTCTGATTCATTATCCGCTATGTTTAGGCATTGATAGTGCAATAGTTCAGAGTCCGAGTCCAAGGGTGTGAACCGCTCCAAGTAGAACGTCACGTGTTGTTATCTCAAAATCACAGTGGCCACATACACACTGCAGTTAAATTTGGTTGTCAGTTCATCTTTTACTCCTTAATCATGTTCTGGACACACATAATTCACTAAAAAAAACGGTATTCGCATTCGACAACATTAACTCCCAAAAAATACAGGTAGTGACAACCGCATTTTTTTAGAAATTCTATGCAGTGTGTACAGAACCGAACTGAACAACTAGTTGTTAATGATGATGTCACGAGAAGCAAGCCATTCTCTCCGTGATGCCACATCATTGCTATGTTACCACGCTGCCATTCATGACAGTTTCAGGAGTGAGTCGTGTTCCGTACCAAAGTCCCTTTAGTTTAAGTCACTTGGCAGCCATCTTTGAAACGCCTCTCGGGCATGCAAGTGCAGCTCCCATCTCTTTGAATGAGGAAACATCAAATTCTCCAAAACTGTTTGCCAAGCTTACGATTGAATTTCATATTTGAAATCACCAATGAAATCTAACAACAAGTCTCCGAACGCTGTTTCTATAGCAACCGAGACGTCTAACGGCAGCTGCAGTGACACGATGACTTTACCGATTATCGATTGTCTCTTTTATTCAGAAGGCAGGGCTTCCTTTGATAGAGCGGCCATATTGAGAATTGCATTTTCCTCCATTCAAAACTATACGATTGACACGTCTTTGGTATTCTATAGTCTTTGTTCCGTACACACATGGAATGATAATTTACGATACTCACTCCCGCATTTAAATGCGGTTGTCAATCCTGAAACTTGCAGTGTGTACGTGGCCAGTAATTATGACATGGCGTGAATGCAGCATAATTTCTGATTGGCTGGTAGGCGGCATTAAACTCTGTATAACAGGTGACAGCTATGAACTCGCCAGA